TATTTTTGTAATTGTATATTATTTTAAGGGTAGTTTCGTCTTTTAAGCCTTGGAAGGCTGTTGTGGCAAATGTCAAAAAAATTGGGCAATGTGAAAAATGGCATGTTTGACATGGCTAAACAAAAAAGTACCTCAATTTTATCCACAAATTGAGAACAATCCTTCGCAGAGGCCAAAAAGGCAATTAAAAGCGATCTAACCCATCATCTCTCTACCCCACCTTCATCCATCTTCTCCAACTCCAACGGAGAACTCAACGGCCCCGACGGAATCCAGTTTATCCAGTTGTACAGTTATCCATTCGCAAACAGTTCGACCAATTTACTCCTTTGAAGCTGCAACCACCTTCTTCTCTGACGAAATCGTCAGCAAAAATTTGGTAAGCATGATATTTGGTTTATATGGGTGTCTCGAAACTGTTGAGTGAATGTGTATTTACATATAGTTTCGACCAAATATGCGTATTTATTAATTTTCAGTTAAAACCCTTACCTGAGATTCTATGTACCCAATGTGCATGATTTTGAAGTTAGAACCACTCTTTGAGCCGTTCTTCAGCTTCAGCTTCTGTGTATGTTTATGATTTTGATTTTAGGACTCGTGTGAACATTTTTTTAGCTTTCTTATATCGACTGTGCAATGAAGTTTCATTTTTCAGAAATGTAAAGTTTCAATACTGCATGAAGTTATACATGTGTTCAACATTGCTGTGTAACTGAATTGAGAAGGTGTGTAGTAGTAGTATTCAATCTGTTTACCCAATGTTTGAGAGTGTGTGTACTGACTAACTTCACATAATTTTTGAGAATGTGGACTGAATGTGTTTACAGCAGCTTATAATGGTAGGACAAAATGATGGAGTATGTCATGGCTGTAGATGAAGAGGTCTTCTTTGCGGATTGTCGAAATAAGCTCTCTATTCGCGGTGTAACATGCATTTGTGAAGTGTTTTGTGATGGTGAAGAACACTAACAGCAAAGGTAAATTGTTCAAGTGTTGCGGCAAGAACTACGGATTTTGGGAGTGGGTCAAAGAAGGTGAAACGAATGGTGAATCAAGTTCCGTTGGCATTACCTCCATTGATCCTGTGGCGACTGAATCAGAGAATAACGTCTCTTGCATGTTCGAAACTATGTGTTGGTTAAGTCACAAAAAAGACGTGGAGATAAATTTGATAATACGCAATGGAATTGCAAGTGCGGAATGGGATAGAAAGGAAAAGGACCGGTGTGATTTGTACTTGTTTGTCAAATGAAGTTCTTATTTCCATTAAGTTCAGTGTTGACGTACTCTGTTGTTAATTATTAATGTAATTTGAATTATTGATAGAATATGTTTGACAAGAGTTTGTATATTCAGTACATTAGAAGATGCAAAAATTATCTTTGAGCTGTACAATACAAATAAGCATCATAAGCCAACAGTTTAACATATAAGATTGCGTATTTGCACCATAAGTTCATAGATAGCAAACGATGAACAATACCAAACACGATATAGTAATAAGAAGAAAAATTCATCAGAATAATGTTTGCTCATTCGTCAATTAAGTTTTAAAATAAATAACAATTAGGATGACTGCCCAACTGATGACAATACGCGAGAATCAACACTGCCAATACATTGTAGTGAAACTGCAAAATCAAAGTGAATTCTGTAGCTATAAATATCTCAAAAAATCAACATGAATAAGTGGTGGTTTTTCCCATTAAATATCATTTGTTTCCTCCATCTCGGTCCATTAATCATGGGTAGAAGTATGGCATTGCCTGAAAATCTGCACAATCCAGACACCCAAAAAAATAAAAAATAAAATGGATGTTGCGCTATGTATATTTAACCACATAATTACCTCTACTATTGAAAAGAACGTGATTCACCGACGGAGGTATAAAACTGGAGGATTATAGTTGTTGTGTTAATGCAAGACTTTTGTTGTCACAATACAGGAAATGAAATAAAGTATAAGTACAATATTTTCTTATTAAGGTAACTGATTCGTATAGATAGACTTGTTTTATGATTATACTCGAGGTTTACTGTGTTAATTCTCCATATTTCATGATTAGTACACTCTATTCATCCATTAAACTGATTCGTATAGATGGACTTGTTTTATAATTATGCTCGAGGTTTACTGTGTTAATTTTCCATAATCTACGAGACTATCCATAGATGCAGTAAGCGTCGCTTTACAATCGGTTTGAATGGTTGGTTGTAGTTTCCAAAAACCGCTTGTAGTACTACTTCTTTTCCTTCACAACTTCATGTCAATATAACAGATTTAACAAAACTGTCGTCGCCTTGTTATGAATTTCTTTTTCTAAGTGGAAAACCTATGTCGTGCGCATATCTTTTGTAGTGATCAAACAATTCATTTTCATCATTG